TATAAAATTACAATACAGTGTATTTGAAAATAATTTAAATATCTTACGTCTAAGATCAAATGTAAAACTGATGTTAAAAATTAGAAGATTTAAAATGCATTACTGAGTGTGGTGTTGTAATGCAGCATTTAAAAATATTTATCCAGGAAAGCTATACCTGAAACTTATATAATGAATTTGTATTAAGTTTGGAATTATGTTACACTGTCGTCACAGTGTTGATATCAGGAAAATCGACTGTATAATAAAACATAAGATATTATATGCATAAAATTTTGAAGTTGTAACTAATCCTACGTGAATACTGGGAGTTTGTCAGAAAGGACAGGTGTTTGGTATTGCAGTTCAGAACAGATGGATAAGGGGTTATGTGGATGGAGGGGCATTGCAGAAAGGGAAAGCAGGATTGAGACAGTGACTAACAAGGGGTTGGAAAAGGGCTAGAAGTACCTCTGCAGGAATAGGGACAACAACATCCCTAAGAACAAAGAATAACACTAAATAGTTAAGAAAATAAAGACAAGTATTGGAAAGAATATGGTAAAATTGGCGGTGTGGGATAAGGAACGTGGAGAGAGTGGGAGGGGAGAGAAATGGGACTTGGAAATGTGCAAGATGTGCCATAATGTCTAGTAAGGAGGTCTGGGGATGTCCCATGTTCCATACACCAGAAAATCTCTGTAATGAGAATTATGGGACTGGTGAACTTCTAAGGTAGGGGAAGGAGTGGGGGTGTGGAGTTGAAAAGGACCATAAGGCTCAGTACTGGTGCTACCATAGAACCATAAACATCTGTTTCTGTGACCCAATCACAAGCAATCAAGGTAAGAAAGTAATCACTGTGTATAACTGGTGGTGGTAGACTTGGTAGTCTGTTGGCATGGTGATCTCTGGCAGTACTATACACCATCCTCAGATACCTATGGTAGGTACATATGTGTGATATATATATCTAACCTGTGTAATTTCTGCGTAGAGTACAATGTTGAGGTGAATTTACTGGTTATATAAACCCTAAAAAGAGATACTGACCTAGAACAAAACAATAAATAAGGAAGAATTTGTTAAATGTTTCCTTCCCCTTTAAATCTAACTTCATATTTTCATCCTGTTTTAAGATCACCCGGAAATAAATATTCACATTTACTGAAATTCAGCTTTATTTTAAACCTGAATTCCACCAATTAAAGTTGGCCTTATTGGCCAAAGGTCAAACATGTGAATGGTAAATGGCAGAAGATTCGCAAGGGTATATAGTGTCACATGTAAATCCAGAGAATGACGATCCTGAACAAAGTCATGATTAACAGTGTAGCACAAAAAGTAGAGCACAAGACAAAATTGAGTTTGACTGGAAAATAAATCTCACATTGTCAAATGGTTACTTAGATTTTATGTCCTTACAACAAAGAACCTATGGTTACGGAATCAAGAAACTGTTCTGAAAGATGATGGTCCACTTTTAAAGTGCCATCACACTGAATGACAACTGGGATAAAAGATGTCATCCCATTTAATTTGTACAAAAACTTTATAAATCAGGTTATGATTTCTTTTGATATCCTCACACAGCACAGGTCATGATAAACCAATAAATCTGTAATGCTACATTTATTACATCTCAGCTTTCATCCTAAACTGACAGGGCTGAGTATTTGATATGACTTCTCTGCACTGAAAGCAATACTAACCTATGTAACTGACATTTATAAATAAACATTTCAAGGTAGTTTCTCTTGTCTGACTGCAAGCCAAGGCTATATTAATATGCTTTACAATATCAAATAAAGTCGTCTTCAAACAGTAAAATCTGGGCGTTTTAGTAGTTTCAGGTCTGAGCAAGAAAGACATTAACTGGGAATTCACTACAACAAGAGGCCCATGGGCCTTAACAGTCATCTGACTATTAAGAGGTATATTCTATAGAAGCCTAATACGCCTAGAAACTCACCTATTCTTTAAAGCTTATAAAGAACTGCTTGGCGGTTCATAAAGTCATTATCTGTAAACTTGAAATCCTATTCCTCTGCACAAATACTATGACCCAGGACCTATTGCAATGTTCACAGAAGAAATTCTAAGCTCTCAATACATTTGACTCCAGTGACCTTGAAAACATGTCAAGGTCAATCATTTGAATAAATTTGGTAGCCTTCACCTAATTATGTTATAGAACCAATATCAATAGCCTAGACCTTAAGATTATGAAAAGAGAAGATTGTTCAAAAGATTTTAACACATTTAATCCAAGCCAAGGTCATTCATTTAAACAAAGCTAGTAGCCCATCATCCCAGCAAGCTACAGACCAAACATTAGTACACTGGACCTTTATGTTATTCCCAGGAAGTTGTATAAAAACAAGTTATATTATAAATCTTGTTGGTCCAGATGGAAGTGGGCAAGTTGTCCCACTTTGGGAAGAAACTGGAAAACTTGGAAAAAGCTCAACTGGTCCACAGGTGATTCCATACCTTTTCATATCCACTATTGGAATAGAACCCCAGACATACAGGTAAATTTCAGTCTAGGTGGAAATCTTGGTCAATCCAAGTAAGTAATGTCACATATTCCAAAATGAGATCAAGGTAAATAGGAATGGAACCACTAGTTATACTAATGAACATCTAGGACATCGGTTTCTTATTGCACCAGGAAATTGAATGTTTACCAATGAGATCATTATGAGAACTGTAAAATTTCCCTGTAATCTTCATCAAGTTTCATCTCTTAAAACCATGTGTTGTGATGATCTTGCACAAGAATTAGGAAATTGGAAAAAATACTTTTGATATCAAATCAGTGCAACATGTAAACACCACAGGTTGGGGAAGCAGGTGGGCTTGCTATCAAGTAATGGAAAACTGACATGAGGGAAATTGAATTCATTACACTTAACGATAGCTTGGAAGAAGCTGTCCCTGTTACTATATCCTGAACCCAGGGATATATGATAGAGGGATAGGAGAATGTCTGTATCTCTTTGTAAAGCTACAGGATATAAATTGTAGGTAACTAGCCTTGCTGTGAGCAAAGAGACTTCAATGACACTGTGAACAACACAGCCCCTAAATTACATACTTCCTTTTCTGGACCCAAAGTTAACCTTCAGTTGGACTACTGGTAAACCCCCTTTCCCTATCCAATCCAACCCTAGAACCAAAGGTAACTATTCAAAATTTCCTTCATTCCCATTTATGAAACCCAAAACCACTAGATAACATTCTGTTGGATTTCTCTCAAACACCACGACCCAAGATAGCTCCCTTCCAACTTTGGACCCAAAGATGTAGCATGATGGGGTTAACAATTTGGTTGTCTTCTCAAAGTACCCATTTGTTTAATGATGGTGACAGAGTACCTGTAACTATCATATTAGTCCACAAAACATCAATCTCCTTTTAAGTTTCAGAATATAAAATGAGACAGTATGAAAACTTTTGCAAATATTCATTTCATTTAAAGGCATAGGTAAACAATTAGTTAATGAAATTTTCAAAAGGAATTCCTTGTAATGTTAAATAAAATGATACAGAGAGAGAAAAACTTATTCAAAACCTTATAATCTATCAATACATGTATATCACAGAAAAAATTGTAAATGTTCTAATGTCGTCAAATGACAGCATCATGATAGATCAACATACTCTAAATTTTGAGAGTTTGAATTGATTCATTCTTTCAGGCAGCAGAAGATGCATTTGTTTTTCAATTTGATGTCTTATCTTGAATTCCACCACTAAGATTGTAAAAAGGTTTATGGGTGATCCATCCAGCTTTAACCTCAACAAACCCTTAACCTCAACCATGAAGGATTTTTTTTTATGATGCTCTGGTTTCCTCCTATATAAAAATGACAAATTAATGTAAGTTGATAGGACTTATTTCATACTTGTAGTAATTTATTTATCTATCAGATTTCTTGTACAGAAATACAGACACCCCCCTGGCTTCCTTAGAGAAAACAAACACAAGGTCTGATTAACTGGTAATGAAGCATGAATATAAATTCCACTGTAAACAAAATACTGAGATAAATGGAAGATATTCTGTACCAGTAGCTTCACTGGTTACCATTGTGACCATGACCTTATCTGATGAGTGGGTCACATGCTGATAGGGGTCAGTGGTACTTTATAATAGTACAATGACCTTGATGTCCTTGAGTTGATGGATAAATGCCATACTCCCAGCCTTACTAACTGGCCAGCTCTATGTTGTGGAATGTATTAAGTCTTAGGAAGTGGGGTGGGGCAGAGATTAAGAAAGTGGTGAGCATGGGAGGGAGGTGGGGTTGTCTAACACCTCCTGTAGTGTATAATTAGGGATGAAGTATCATTCACCATCCCTTGGCCAGCTGCTGTATCTTGCTCTGTTATTAAGTCATCAGCTGCAGGTTTTAACTTTCACTGACATTTAAATAATAGTGTAGATATAGGCGTCAACAGGGCCAACTTTACAAGGACTGGTGATCGCTATCAGACAAATCAGCCTTGAGGCCCTCCATCATCCTCACACACACACACCTGTCGGATGTGTGTATACTGTTCTAAAACACCATTCAATCACAGCAGAGTTTTGGCTGGAAAAAAATCTGTAAGATAAGCTAGTATTATAGATGACTGGAGGTTCTGTATAAAAAACAATACAGAGGATAAACAAGTATCTGTACATGAAAATAGGGAATATTTCCTCTCATGAAGGGGAGTGAATCCACCGTACGCAGAAAATAAAATGAATAGCAGTGTTTCAGGTGGGGCTGGGCAGAGAAATAATTTTGTGGAATGGGTGCATATGTGGCCCCGAGGTGGGATAAATGGCCGTGTAAAGGAGAATCACAGTCTGACAAGATATATGAGTAACTGTAAGCCTTACACAACACATCTGTTGATATACTGGACATTAATGCAGATGAACGTATTGATTTTTTTTGGCCCAAAATTACTACAGTTGTAAACAAATGAAGAGTTAGTCATCTGTTAGTTCGTTAATCAATACTCACCTGCAAACAAACTCTTACTTCTGAGGTCCCGCGTACTAAGATGTGTGAACTCCAGGTAATTATCCTCTACTAATCCGTGTTATCTTTGGTAATCCTTGAAAACTCTCCGATAGAGCACAAACATCCTACACACAGGCGGTTCCTATCATCTACTCATCAACTGAAAGCATTCAGGCAATACACAACATCCCTGACCAGGCAGTCTTCTCACAAGGTATTCTGTAGAAAATCAGAAAAAAGAGAATGCATTTGTAGGTATATACCTACCTACTATATGGAACACACTCGGAGGCTATGATGAGGTGGTAGTATGTATCTTGTGCCAGGGGTTCCTATCACTGGTCGGTCTATAGCAGCTTGGCTATACAGATAGGTTGTTTAATAATAAAGCACGTCAGCCTCTAATTTCATCTCTGGTAAAGACTTGATTCAAATCTTTGATAACCATGGTTACTAAAAGACAGCATTTACTCAAAGACTACAGGAGAATGTCATTTCAGAGTGTCATTCCAACATGTAACAGCCACTGTGCCAGCCACTTCACAGGATGGTATAATAGGTCACTTCTAATACTCCAGTCTTCTGTAATGCTCGATGATATTCCCTGATTGTAAATACAAAGCTTACTGCCATATATCTCTTGCAGCATGCAGTGACCAGCTTACCATACTGGCTAATATTACACAGATACATGGTGAGATGGACCGGCTGTTTGTAACATGAAACCTGTATGTATCTTCCTTAGCAGTAGTCGGTCACTGAATCCCTTACCCTAGGGGTAACAGACATCTAGAGACTGATTCCCCACCCCAGGGGTAACAGGAAACAGCCACTGAACTTACCATCCCCAGGGTAACAGGAGCAAGATATTGACCTTATTCCTGGAGTTATAGGGATCAGGACACTGACACCCAATCACAGTTATCAGCCAAAGGTCACAGAGAAAAAGACCTTGATCTCCCACCCCAGGGTAACAGGGACAAGGTATTTATTTCATCACCCTAGGGTAACAGGGACAAGGTATTGATATCATTATCCTAGTGTAACAGGAACAAGACTTTGATATCATCACCCGAGGGTAACAGGGAGAAGATACTGATATCATCACCCTAGGGTAACAGGGACAAGGTATTTATTTCATCACCCTAGGGTAACAGGGACAAGACTTTGATATCATCACCCGAGGGTAACAGGGAGAAGATACTGATATCATCACCCTAGGGTAACAGGGACAAGGTATTTATTTCATCACCCTAGGGTAACAGGGACAAGATATTGATATCATCACCCTAGGGTAACAGGGACAAGGTGTTGATATCATCACCCTAGGGTAACAGGAACAAGATTTTGATATCATCACCCTAGGGTAACAGGGACAAGATATTGATATCACAACCCTAGGGTAACAGGGACAGGATAATGATATAATCACCCTAGGGTAACAGGGACAGGATAATGATATCATCCTTGGGTAGCAGCAACAAGACATTGACTCTACCACTCCAGGGTGAAACTGTATTCGGACAGTGATTCCTCTGCCAGGAGAAAAGATGACCATGCCCCTGACTGAACTTACCCCTCTGGTAAAACAAGAACAAGATACTGACCTCACTATTCTGGGATTAACAAGAGTCTGATTTCCAATTCTGGGGGAAACAAGAACAATATATTTATCTCACCATCCCCGGGTTAACCAGAATCTCGACACTGATTTCCATCCCCAGGGGAAACGAGAACAATATATTGATCTCGCCATCCCAGGGTTAACATGAATTTGAACATTCACTTCCCATCACAGGAGAAGAAGGACAAAGCAACTGTCTAAACTACCATCCAGTTCCCAGTTCTCAGCTCCCAACACTTTACACAAACGTAGCTATTCAAACATGAAGAATTTTCTTTTCCCAATCTATTAACACAACCATCCCTATGTTTCATAGGAAACAGTATTATGCAACTAGACTTGACAATGATGTTTTAAATAAATCACTATTCTCCTAGCTATTAGATAATAATTGGTGGCCAGGGAATTCAACTGGTTATAGAGCACTTGTTTGAAGTTCAAAGGTCAAGGGTTAGAATCCTAGTTAGTCTTCTCCATCTGTTGTTACTTGAGGTATGCAAATCTTACATTAATGTTATTGTGTGACCTCTTCGCTTTACATAAATACATATTTCCCCTGTTAAAAATGTCTTTTCTTCTTTTGTGAGATAACTTCTAGCAAGTGATACTGTATTTTGAACAATTTCAATTCTGATGGGTAAACAAATAAAAACAAACTGACATCATCTCATAAAGGTGTCTATGAAGCTTTTGTAAAAACAATTCTACTTTTTATTCGGTACATTTTTTTTCTCCACTGTATTTTTACTCTACCAGGTAATCTTAAAAAATGTGTATCTATAAGTGACATGCAGAACATTTTTTTGCATTTCCTTGTTCCGGAATTAATTTGTACCTAAACTCAGAGTAATTTCAGAGGTAGAAGAAAAAGAACTTACAATGATATAGGTAACATAATTATCAGGTTAGTTTATAGCTGAAAGTGTACATCTCAAGTAAGCTATGTTATACAGCAACAGATCTGTTAAATTCAGTGCACCACAACTAAATACGACAATTTGTATAAATCTTTCAGTAAATTAGATCATTTATTCACTCGGCATAACTACAGCTGCAGATGATTTTTTTGAAGTAATGACAAGAATAAATATTTATTAGTTCCTGGAATGTTCAGTTGATCTAGATAGAGCATGTTGGTTAATCAGTGTGTCGACAATTTATGGAATACCAAGGTTAGCCAGGGTGAAACTAATCTGAAATTACAGCCAAATGCAGTAAGTGATCTCATCCAGGAAAGACATTGTGTGATGCAGAAAATAGAACTAGCCATTACGAGTAAAGTAAACAACTGGACAAATTTAGGTGCATTTTGCAATCCAACATATAAAAGTTTTAGTACTAAATACAATGTCGCAAACTGTGTCACTCTAAAAGTCACAGTACCATGCCACTCTAATAGTCACAGTACCATGTCACTCTAATAGTCAAAGTGTTATGTCACTCTAATAGTCAAAGTAGTATGACACTCTAATAGTCACAGTACCATGTCACTCTAATAGTCAAAGTGTTATGTCACTCTAATAGTCAAAGTAGTATGACACTTTAATAGTCACAGTACCATGTCACTCTAATAGTCAAAATATCATGTCTCTCTAATTGTCACATTACCATGTCACTCTAGTAGTCAAAGTAGTATGTCACTCTAATAGTCAAAGTGTTATGTCACTCTAATAGTCAAAGTAGTATGACACTCTAATAGTCAAAGTGTTATGTCACTCTAATAGTCAAAGTAGTATGTCACTCTAATAGTCAAAGTAGTATGACACTCTAATAGTCACAGTACCATGTCACTCTAATAGTCAAAATATCATGTCTCTCTAATTGTCACATTACCATGTCACTCTAGTAGTCAAAGTAGTATGTCACTCTAATAGTCAAAGTAGTATGACACTCTAATAGTCACATTACCATGTCACTCTAGTAGTCAAAGTAGTATGTCACTCTAATAGCCAAAGTAGTATGACACTCTAATAGTCACATTACCATGTCACTCTAATAGTCAAAGTAGTATGACACTCTAATAGTCACATTACCATGTCACTCTAATAGTCAAAGTAGTATGTCACTCTAATAGTCACATTACCATGTCACTCTAGTAGTCAAAGTAGTATGACACTCTAATAGTCACATTACCATGTCACTCTAGTAGTCAAAGTATTTTGTCACTCTAATAGTCACATTACCATGTTGTTGATCTTCTAGAAAACAATGTATCAACATGATCAGTCGATGATTTGGTGGCACAGTTGTAACACACTTGTCTTTCACCTAGCCATCCGGGGTTCGATTCAAATAATTCCATACAAAGTATTGAAATTGAGAACTTCTGCTAAAGTACTAGCTTAATGCCTGTAAAAAGTTTTGAGTAACGGGTAATTACCTTGAATGGTTTAAGAGAACTGGCCTGAAAAAAAAAACTGAACTTTGTGATTTGGCCTATCTGTTTCCATGGTAACAGTGAAAGTATTTAAATGGTGAACTTCCCCAATAGCAAAAAATACTACAAGCCTAATAAGTGTAAAAAATTTTGAGCAATTATCTTGAATGGTTTCAGAGCATTGGCCCAGAAAAACTGAAAGGGCCTGTTTCCAGTAATGTTAATTCTCCATAGGAGCCTGCCCCCGTATAATTTCTTATCTAGCTCAACTACTGTTTTTTTCTTTTCCGAAAAATAATTTTACACCTTTCTGACACCCAGATTTCATAATTTCAGTGAAAATGTATTTTTATAAAGTTGTCAATTTCAGCATCAAAGACATAAGTTCGAAAATAAAAGAAGGTTATCTCGAAATTGTAATTAGCAACATAGTATAAATTTCTTTTGATAAATATTTCCAAAACATCGTGTTTATTCATAAAACATAAAAAAAAATATATTCTCGGATGAAAATGCACTTGCAGAGACACAATTATGAAGAAAAATGCCATAAATTTGCAATTTTCTCCCGTTATATAGTTTTGGATGCAAATTTCCATCAGAAAATCGGATAGAGCTTTACTTGTTTCATATGTGTACCAAAAATCAGCTAATTCCATGTGGTGGAACGTTCTCATATCGCCGCCTGAATGTGGTTGTAAATTGAAAGAAAAGGGGAAATGAGTAACAACCTTGTCTGAAACCCTATTATATAGCTTATCATATACAAACTTTTATATTGAATATCAGAGCGGATATTTTCATGACAGTTTTATGATGTGTAAAAAAAAAAAAAAAAGTACTGTTTCCCCGTCTCGATCTTGATTACTTGAGAACCATTACGTGTGGAACGTATCAGATATCTCTGGCTCCTGGTTACATTGCGTAACATTTAAGTGATGACGGCGACTATGAGGTGTGGCTTTACCAGCACTCCCCAGACCTTCTCCGATGTCAAATACATTCTCCACACAAAAGCCAAACGAAATATAACGTTTGGATACTGTTCACCGTTTCACCCGATGTTGAGGCCCCAATAAAGGACTACTACTGCCAGTGCCCAGTTGGAGAGAGAACGATGGAAATGTGTGCGCACATCTCCAGTATCTTGTACTACCTTGGGTATTACAGGACGCTGGAAAACCCTCGACCATTACAACCACAGGTAAAGAAATTCCC